CTTGGGATTTGGCACTCCCAGCCCCGAGGACAGACAACACTTAAGCTCCTGTCCTGTATAACAGGGGCTTTCAGACTAATTTGCATCATCTTGTCTTGACTTGTCTGACTTTTGTTCCTTTTTCGACTTCCAACAATTTGTCTTCACTTTATTTGCATATCAATCAACAGGTTGTGTATATAAAATAAACCTGCTTTCCCCTCTGGTCTCTCAGTCACTGACGAAAGCTAGTGGATACTAGCTGAAACGTCTGACGTTTTCAAAATCATATCCAGTTGCTTGAGTAACTGTTTTTTGGCATACCATTTCTTTTGGTTTTAAAAGTTAAGTCAAGTTAGTATTTAATGTCATTTTGCAAATATAAAATGTAAAGCAGTCAGACACTTAAAAGCCTTTTTGTTTCCTATTTGCCAAGTAATATACAGTATCATGGACTTGTGTGATAACTGCAATTGAAAAAGATGAAATACAATGTACATGTAGGATCACAAAAAATAGTGTGGGTGAGGGGGCAACATGGAAATTGATAGAAGATGCTGTGAGGTAAATGGTAATTATTCTTCCCTTAGGCCACACCAATTTAATTTCTTGGTTAATGGATTCGCCGCTTCATTTTTTTCTGATTTGCAAATAAAAATAAAAATTTAGAATCAACTGCAAAATGCTCATATTTTGCCCTAAACAGTTGAAAACAGTCCTTTTCTTCCTAGTTATTACAGTTATTCCATCTTTCAATGCAATCAAATCATGGTAAATTTTGAACCAGCCTGGTGTGTTGACTTCATGGCTCCTATCGTACCATTTTGGGCCATAATAGGATACCTAGGCCTGTTTTTATTTTATTTTTTTTTGCCTGCCGGCTCCATTATTTTTCTAGAAAAATCTGTTAACCAAGAAATTAAATTGGTGTGGCCTTATGAAATTCTAACATAGTACTGTGACAAAAATCTGAGTACATGCTGTACTGAATAGTCATATGTCCAATGCTATAGATGAACAAAGCAGACAGAGCAAAACTTAAGGATCATCGTGAGGCCCTTGTACAAGATTTGTTAGTTCAAGACATCGGGGACTACCTTCTACAAGAGCATATTCTTCTGGACAATCATTGGGATGACATAACATCTCAGAACACAAGTCAAAAGAGGGCTGCAAAGCTATTGGATATCCTTAAGACTAGAGGGCCACACGCATACCACCATTTCCTGACAGTACTGAAGGAAAAGTATCCTCACTTGGCTGATCTTCTGTCCAATGTACAGTCTGATCCTTCACACATATGTGCATCATGCGAAGATCGCATCAAGCAGTTGCAATTACAGCTGAAGAAGGTAGATGATGAGCTTAGGGAGTTGAAAGAGAAACAACAGTCTGCTAAACCTACTTCACACATATGTGGATCATGCCAAGATTGCAACAAGAAGTTGCAAGCGCTCCAAAAGAAGAAGAATGATGAACTAACGAAGTTGAAAAACGAAAATCTAGCTAACCTGAAGAACAAGATCAAAGAAATTGAACGCTTGAAAAAAGCTTTACGAGAAAAGACGGAAAAAATAGATCATGTGCAGGCTTGCAAAAAAAAGGAAGTAAAAAAGCATGACAGGAAAGAAAATTGTCACAGTACCTCACAGTGCCTGACTGTCAAACATGAAATTGGACTGAACATTGTGGGAACAAGCTGTTTTTCTGGGAAAAACGCCGCTGAAAAGAAAGAAGCCACATCACATGTACAGCAAGGAAAACCTCCAACACCCGAGGCACATCAGACTAACAGCTGCCTAACTAAGCAAGAACAACAGCAAGATACATCTTTTGAACAAACAAGAATCTCAGGGACTTCCACCTTTTCTTCAAATAAGCCAGGCACAGGCAGGTATGGAAAAACATTTTGTGACAAAGGAAAAACATATACATCATTTTATAATCGACCTGCACCAAATGTTGTGGCTCCGGCATTAGTGATGCAACCATCAAAAAAAATGTTACAGCTAAAAGACAACTTGAAGGCAACGTCTACGCCACCTTTCCCTGGCAAAAAAACTGTGTCACGATTTGAAATGAACTTCACAGCTACAGTAAGCTCAGGATATACTCCCTCTACACTCAAAACATGTTTACAGACAAATACACACTTCCCAAAAATGGCACAGAATGTGCGATAGTGTGTGTTGTCCAGTGGGTAGTAACTCTGCCTCTAAATCTGGACCAAGAGTTTGAATGCCAGCTGTGTCACTTAACCTTTTTTAGTTATTGGAAAGGGTCACAGTCCTTAAGATAGGACATTACTCCATGGCCCACTGTTAATTACTCCGTGAAGGAGGTACATGTACAATGTATTCTGTACATGTACAAATGTATGCCTTCTGCAAGAGTACTGTGGTCAGTCGGTTTTTCGCGTTCGCAGCTAAAACAGCTGTAAGCAGATATTAGGTGGTTGTTGTGTTATATAATCATTTGCGAGTATTTGTTGGGCTTGTGACTTGTTTGTGACTGTGATTGAGACTGGTTTGCACCTATCAAAAAACAACATGTAGTAAATAAAAGATATTGTTATGAGGATGATTTTGTTCATCTGTTTAGATTGTGGTTGATCTTTTGAATTAATTTGTAAAATGTAAAACTTCACAGAGAATTCTCGCCTATGGACACTTATTCTACTTGCAGTTGTTCATGATTTCACATTATAAGCTAAGTATAAGTTTCTTCACAGTTTTTAAGAAACTATGAGTACGACTTTTTCAAAGAAGAGTATTCTGATGTCTATTTTGATAGTGCCAACTTCTGTATGTATGTGTGTTTGATGTTCACTGTCACAGTATTATGTTATGCCAAGAAGTTTAATACTATAAACCATGTTGGTTATGCTTTGTACTGAAAGCTGACAAGTCAACCAGACTGCACAGATAGTCTGGCACAAGATGATGGAGCTTGTAAATATCTGGGTTGTACAGTTACTGTACTGTTTTTATAGTTTTTGTAAATATATGATGTTTGACATTTTGTTTACATGTAAATATCAACGCCATTCTGGCAACATTGTATGCCATGTTTGTCTGTTATGTTTGGCATGTTGTTAAATAAAGAATTGAATTGAATTAAATTGAAAGTATAATTGACCGGGCGCAGCATTTTAATTTTTCAAGATATGAAAATCATTTGATCTTGTGTAGTATTACAATCATAAAATACCATCTATTAGCCATAATAATTAGGTTATACCTTATCCTATTGGGCTTTTATGGTAATATATTGGACTTTGCTATTTGAGACATGCATAGGTTTTTATAGTAACATATGCATGTATTGAACTTTATTTAAAAGGAAAAAGTACAGCCCAGCTAACATCTTGAAGGGAAGTTATAGGTCAAAAAACCAAATGCTGAGCTGTTTAGCAAACAACCTGCTGCACTGAGCCAAAGACACCTGTTAATAAATGGCACCTGTTACACAAATAACTCCTGTATGCTCTACTGTCCACTGTGGCATGTCCAGGCATGCCAATTAAAGCCTTGAATAGCACAGAATGGAACGGTCTGCTGAAAAGAGACCTGTGCAAGGGGAATCCCCGTAACCATGGTGTCACTATAGGAACAGTTCACAATAGGTTGAATTCATGACCATTGAACCAACATGTATGTTGTGTCAGCACATCTAGAAGCACATCTAGTGTAAGAAGGACCTCTACAATTTTTCTGTCAAACTGCAGACATAGAAAATTAAGTGTTGTACAGGAAGATTTTTCAAGAACATTAAATGAAGTACACTTTATCAATTTTTTATGGGATACAAACTTTGTTGCATGTCAGTAACTGAGGTATCATTGTCTTACCTGGACAAAATTCTAGTTTCACAGAAGGAAGGCATTTATTTTATTCTTTACTTCATGTTCTATGCCAGTGCTGTACACACCCATCTGCAAGTACTGTAGAAGATCTCACAGTCTCTGCAGCCTTTACCTAGCACAGAGTGCCATTCTAATCTAATTTTAGATACAGAAGACAAGCTAATATATCTGTACCGCACCTGCATACTGTATAATGCTTCTAGTTCTAATCCTCCACTGCATAATTACACTAACTTGCACACACCTGTTCACAGTTCTCAAGTCTAACACTAGTAACAGCACTAACGTCCCATTGTGCAAGCATAGAATATCCTGATGAAACAAGCAGAATGACTAACCAGCCTTGCATGTATTACTCTGGCCTGCTTCAGTTTCAGAGACACATTGTTCTACCCCATATCCTTTACCATCAACCGATAAAGTTACAACCTCACATTATTCTAACAAAACAGCCCTAATTATAAACAGACAGCATACAACATTATAGACAATGCCTTCGGACTCAAGTTTCATTGCTACGTGTTAGGTTTAGCAACTTTGGACTGAAAATAGGGTATGTGGTCATCTGGATACCCGCAACAAGAATAGCTAGCCGGGAAAAACCGTGGTAACCTTTTGTAGTGGCTGGAACCTGGAAACTTTTGGTCCTGTGTGGAAAACTTGTTTGTTGGTAAGTGTAGTAGACTGTAGACTGTTGCTAGAAGAAACATGGAGTACTACAGAGAGTTTGGACATGTTACCTGAAAGCAACTAAAGGAACCTACAACAGGTGGGATAAACACGGTGGTAAGTCAACAACTTTGTCTTGTATCAGCTTTATAGAAGAAGAGCAGAAGATTGCTTTAAAACATTTAACAACAAGAACTGTCTATAAAATCTGAGTCTTTAACTAACAATGTACTTACTAGATATTACTCTGATTCTTTAATCATGTGGTATTTCTTCAAGTGAAGTAACTTGGTAGATTTGACATACCTACACGTACATTCTTGTCCGAACATGAAATTTGATCAACCAATTGCAACATATCACCATTACAGTTAGTGTAACTCTTTAACTTCATGAACAATTTAAAGTAACAAGCTTTTCATTTGGTTCTAACAGGACAGACACACAGCATTCATCACTTTGACAATATGGACAGATGTTAAGAAGTATGGATGAACAAGACAAGAAAAAACTTGTGCGTAACCGTGTTGCTATTGTGGAATCCTTGATTGTGGAGGATGTCCGGGCATTCCTGATAGAAAGGGAGGTTTTCACGAGTGACCAGTTTCAGCAGATCACCCGGCAAACAACACGTAGACACAAAGCAGAGGAGTTGCTTGATCTGCTTCCAACTCGAGGGCCTAAAGCGTTCCAGGAGTTCCGAAAAGCTTTGAAGCAGTGTAACTATTCCTTCCTGGACTCACTACTTGAAAAGGGAGGTCTAGAGGGCAAGCCTCAACACACAGAAAGGCAAAAAACAATCCCAGAAAGTCTACTGAACTCTTTAAAGAGTCTGACAGAGGAAAATGCAAAACTGAAAGCAGAACTGAAGACTCTGAGGGCAGAGAATGCTCAGAAACAAAAGAATATCGATAACTTGAAAAGGCAGAATGACTCTCGAGTGTTGAAGGAACACGTGCAAAATGAGAAGACAAAGAAAGTGCAAGAAGAGTTGAAGACTTACAAAGAAAAAGTCAGGATCATGTCCTCAGTAACTACAGATAAACTGCTACGAGATCTTGAAAAGGAAAGAAAGCAGAAAGAAACATTACAAAGAGAGAAGGAAGAAATGAGCAAGAAGTTGAGAGACATCTGCAGAGGGTACGAGGGGTTGAGAAAGAAGGTGGAGGAATGTAAGAAGAATCACGGGAGGAAAATCATCCACTTGGGGAGTAACAAGTTGGTGGTTCAGAACCCAGAAAAACCACAGGTGATCAAGGGAACTGGTGTGGTCACATCTTCCATGAAGGATGGAGTTAAAGCTGCACGCGGCTTGCAGAGAACTCAAACAATGTTCACAGTCGGCTCTCCTGGTCAGGTGAGTCCAGACAGCACAAGATGTAACACTGCACCTGGGAGGGGTCAGAAACCAGAGTCCAAACCAGTCACTAAAACCATCATTGTACCCTCGTGGAACGAAGTTTCTAAAGAGAACAAAGCAGTTTCACACAGTACAAAACCAGTGGTAAGAGTTGGTGGCACTTCAACAGTGAGTCCGAAAGGATCGAACACTTCCTCACATCCACCGACTTTTGCAAGAGGAGCAACTGAAGAAACGTCTCCAAGGCAGGTCAGGAGCAGAGCCACATTGAAAAGCACCATGACTACGCCTACACAAGTGGGCAAGGACAAAACACAGAAGCAAGAAACAGGCCACAACAAATTATCTACAACACCACCGGCTGGGCAACAGTTTTCTGCAACTCGACTGTCACCCCACAGGCCACCTACCGGCTCTAGCGGGTATCGCTCTGAATCCAGAAGCACAACTCGGACACACGATACTGACGACATCTCAGAAGACACCAGGTCTAGGACCAGCGAGAGACAGGGGCTGCTTTCCAGAAGGGATAAGGCATCTCCTAATAGAGTTTCCACAGGAAGGTCTTCAAGTTCAAGTGGAAGACATTCAACAACTAAAGTAAAGATCAAGGTGCCTTCTCCAGACCTGAGAGGTCCCATAAGTATTGAGTATGAAATAGCGAATGAGTCACAATCTGTAGACTCTGATAGTACAGAATCATAGTGATAAAGTATGCTGCATATTAATATAAAATTACAATTCACACGTGACAAATGGTCAAGACAAGTCAAATCTTGCCAAGCTGTATCGTCTTTTTCTGTTGGCTGCTAGTCGTACTTGAATGTATATAAATAATGGATTGATAATGAGAAACTGTATATAGAGATAACTGGTCTAGAGTAGCAAACCCTGATATATGAGTCATATTATGACAAAGATAAATACTAGTAGTACTTGGGATATTTATCTGCTGCATTATGTTATTGTATATATTGTTGTCAAAGATTAAACCAATGCCATACCTCTGTACTCAACATGTCATCTTTATGCAGCCCTTCTGTTACATGTAAGTTCTGAAACTGTGACAGAAGCAAACCTCTGCATCTCTGACATACAACATATCACCTTATTCTTATAAGAGCACTGCTGGGGAAAATCACATCTAGTAAGTAACTGTTAGTAAAACACAGCATATAGAAAACACATTCAATATCATCATCACCATCAACATTTCAGTGCTCGGCACAACATAGTATGCATACAAGCGATCGCCATGATGTCACAGACAGCAAGTGGTAGGCAAAAAACAGGTGTATATGGTGTAAACAAAAACAGTGATCGCTTGTATGCACCTTAGGGCACGGTCACATTTCCAAGCCGGGGCCCGGCCAGGTTGTTTGCGTGAACGAAAAATAACGAAAAACAGTTTGTATTAAGAGTATACACAAATAGAGCTCATGGTTGATTTTGTAAAACTATTATTGTGTTTTGCTATCTTATATCATAATTTCCATTCCATACAACTGCCCGGCCGGGCCCCGGGTTGGGAAATGTGACCGCACCTTTAGGCAGGGTAAGTTTTGCCAGGCAAACCTGTATAAAAAAAAAAACAGGACTCACATTTGTGGAGCAAGTCAGAAACATCCCTTTCCTATAGCACCTGAGAAGCCTGGAAGACAACTGTTGTGGTGGGCTCTTTAGGGGGATTTTAACAGCAACACCACCAGTCAGGTCCACTAGCGCATCTCCCACTTGTCCTGCAACTAGAGCCTCATAACATCCATGCAATCTGGGACAGAAAACGTTAACATGGTTGTAGTATAATGTGGTGGTGAACATACATGTATCATAAATATAGCTTTGTGTCGAGTCCAGGAGCATACACATATACAGCTAGCATTTAAATCTATCGTTAGGTCTCGGTTGTCTATTCAGTCCAGATAAAAAGGACTCAGTGATTGAGTACAAAAAATCATTTTTAATGACATAAATACTTTTCATCTAGGTGATTCATGCTACATGCACATGTACATTGTACTATTTTCTGAAATTTCAACTTTACTATGGGTATATTGACTTTAAAATAGTCTGAAGGTAGTTGCCATGAGCAAATGTTTTAACACAAATTTAACAATGCAGAATAAAAATATATGATTGTTACTTGGCATAGGCTTTCTCCATCAGAGGTAGCCAGAAGTGACGTTTGTTGGCACATCTGGAGTAGAGCAGTCTGCCGTCTCGACATGGCAGTCTGTCGTCAACGGTCACTTCTGTCCACGTCCCAAACTTCCAGAACACGAAACAGAACTTCCCTTCATACTCCTGGTCACCCCATGTTTTCTGGTGCACTGGTATAACCTGCGATATCAAGAGAATACCATCAGTTTGGTTAACTGTAGTCTGGTTTACCGTTACCAAACCTATTTTAGCTCCCGAGTTTAGTGAAACGATATGTATTATGCTTGGGAGTATATTGTTATAGTAACATCTAGCTTCAGTGCACAGTCACAGTAACACCTCAGTGGTCACTGAACCAGTCATATTACTGATGAAGATGACAGACAGTCATCAAAACGTTGGCTGAATAAAGAACTTTGCTATTCATTCATTCAGCAACCTGATGAAATTATTCAAGGAATACAAAAGAAGATAACATTAACACTGCAATTCTAAAGTCTTTAAGCTGATCTCAAGGTAAAAAAATGCAACATTTTATGATTACTTGTACATGTAAGTGGTATGTAAGGGTTGAAACCTGCTGCTACCCTCTGTAAGAACATGCAATGCTTCAGTTGTAGGTGGTATAGAAGAGTTGAAACTTTCTGCTACCCTCTGCATGAGTTGTCTGTGTGGTGCAATAGCAGCACAGGCACACAGAAACCAGCAATCTCCCAGCCTCCCCTGCACCACATCCTGCACACACAAGTCACCGTCAGCAGGCAGCAGCACTGGGGACTCTACAAGCTCCTGAAAAAAGTAATGTTCAATATAGGGATATATTGACTGAGCTCTGATTATTCATATCATGGCTATAAATATATACCCATTGAGCTCCTTGCTAGTATAACAGAGTCCATTATTCCTTTAACATAGCATTAAGGTACTAGTATATGGACTAACTCAAACCTGAGCAATGATTCTAGCAGGGATATATCTAATAGAAAGAAAAGGCTGATCTTCTGTATTTTTATAGATGTAGCTGGTATAACCGTCCCTCGGCGTAACATGCCCTTCGCAGGCACGTGGCATGGCAGCAGCTGGCTACATTACACCAAACAACCCGTTACACGGTAACACCTATCCTACATGTTAAGTAAATGAAACCTGTGGTCTTCTCCAGACTATCTGTCCAACATCCCCCGATTGCGAGTTGCCTTTGTAATACAGCGCCGAGTCACTTGCTGGGAAGTCTGTGTCCTCAAACAGCATCTTGTTCTAGACCTCTGTCAGACCTCTGACTCCGAGAGACACTCGTCACGGAAGCACTGAGCTGTGTCACAAATACACATACAGAGGTTTAATTGAAAGTATCTCCAAGCAGATCTTTTGGCTGCTGTCTACTGTATCCACTTGCCAGACAGTTAACGTTAGAGTTAGGTTGGCGGAAAAAAAATACCGACTGTACAAAAAAGAGAGCCTGAGAAAAACATCGAAAACAGGCCAAAAATAAGCCAAAGCCTAAAGCTCTGCTTGGAGAGTATCGCTCTTATGGCATCAGTAACTTTGTCATAAAACAAACCATTTGACTCAAATTATGGATTCTCAAAATTTAAATCACAACACTTGTGCCTTAGTATTCCCCACACTCTGTAGTATTTGGGTACGCTTGAGTACCCTGCAGAACAATACTAGACAATGTCAGATGGCCAGTTCTATGGTAACGTTACACATTCTCGACCAACTGTCCCCCAAGTAGCGTTGTTCACATCCTGCTTTAATAGTGTATATGTACAGAACACCACCTCCGCACAAGTACTACTGCAAGGCAACCGCCCCCCTCCCACTTCCAACTCGGCCACGGCAAGCTATGCTCGCAACTCCGCCAAAGAACCAAGTTACGGTATTCAGTGATAAACTTGACGTGGAGAGGGATACCCTTCTGTTACCTCACTCTCTACACCAACAACTATCAGCAGTAAGCTACAGTTTCCATTTTTCCCAGGGGTTTTCCTCCGTTCAATTCGCCCGCCGCCATACTTTGGGTCTTTCAGAACAACGCTACCATTGTAACAAAGGGGGATTCGTCAAGTACTTTTTGTAAAAAAATAGGCAAAACGTCTCCAAAGTATCATAAATCATTGTACATTTCTATAATAAAAAGCTATATAGCATACTTAAAATATAAGTGATCAGATTTGTAAGGATATTGTATTTTTTAAAGTTACAAATATCACTAGTTCCCCCTTTTCAAATTGTAGATTCCATCCACCGGCTCCACAGCTGGATGCATGACGTCACCCATTCCACTCAATTCCCTGGTGATTTAAACTGCTATAGAGAATGCCGGTCTTACGATATTAAATCATCCTCGTATCTTCAATGCAACAGCTAAAGTATTTATTGTACAGAAGGGTTAATGTCATCAAATACTGCAAAAGTGTTAATAAGATGTCATCACCAAAATTAATCTGATGGCAATTCAGCACCTTGGACATTGCTAGTCACACCTTACTAATCCTTACCTGTACGATTAATTTAAGCTACAGCAACGTATCATCTACACTAACAAATATATGCTGGATAATTAAATTCTCGTCATATCTAGGGGATTGTTGTTGTGCTTTCATAAATGATCGAGTCATGCTTATTTTAAAGTTAAACTTGGAATTCCAAGATGTTAATATAAGCATTTCACTTATTTGTTGTTACTAGTATTTGTTTTTGGTGCTGTCAAACTTGGAGAAGCTCGAAGGCTATAACAGGCAAAGGAAATACTCGACCACGACACAATCAACGTTGCAGTAACGTTTATTTCAAGTTCGTCCTTCATACATGGAACATTTGTACAATATTTACAGTAGGTGCATTAACCATACTTTCTGGGTGGGTGTTGCTGGATATAATTACATGTATACCAAAAATAACTGGTGCAAGTTACTTTGCAATAAGTTTGTCAGTTTTGCAACCAAAATTATCTTTGATGCATGTATTGCTATAAATGCAAGAATTGCTCCTTTTCAAAGACTAAGTAGCAGAAAATCATTTGAGAAGGCACACCAAAATGTTTAACTGTATGTGGCATTGCCTGTCAATGTTTTGCCTGCACATTTCTTTTTCTGGAATAGAAATCTATGATACATGTAAAACATGCTTTCGGTAGATGCAAATTGCTGTTGCAAGGTTTACAAGTAACTTGTTTCTAGTAGTTGTTATCTAGTAGTTTTATTGTAGACTAATACATTTAAAACAATGTTTACTGTACACATGGCATCCAGTAGTGTTATTATTTACAGTGTAAGATTAACAATACATTTGTACCAGTAAACTGCTTCAAGATATATCTATACAGCACATCTTACAATTGGCTGGAGTAAAGAATTACACTGTCAATGATCTTTTCGTAAGTACATTTGTAATTAACACTCTGTTCAACTTTCACATCAAAATTTGTCATGACAGTTTGCTTTTCTGCACATCAAGATTGCAAAACATATTCAAGCACACAAAATCAGCCATATAAATTCTTTATATTGTTACTTGAACGTAACTTATCACGTTGGTTGTTACCTAGGGTTATGGTCGAGAACAAGAGTAACTATTTCCTTACTAGCGACTGTGTATCTTACATACGGTGCTACTGTTTGCCTGATTTGTACTATATAATTATTTATCCTGATTTTATGATGTAATATTATCTGCTTATTATCTGTCGTTAATATTTACAAGTCAACTTTTCATTTATTAGAATTTTACCTTCCTAGGGTAGCTGAATCCTTTGGTAAATCAGTTGATTTTAAGTTTCATGAAAAACAAAACTATTGCAAGAAGAAGAATATTAAGTACAAAAACTCAAAATAGTATGAAGCTAATCAAGTCTTTTCTCTTCTTTGTCTCCTTATTTACATTTACAGCTTAGGAGACATTTACATGTGTGATTGTTACATTTTTCTTTTTCTATCTTCAAGATACATAACTTGTAAATATCTTTGCTTGGTGGGTTATCCATAGTTTTAACTGTACAATACCAACAGTTCTGGTAATACCTGTACAGTGGCAGTGAGTTGGTACTTCTACAAAGCAAGATGGTCAAAACAAAACAAATATTTTTCGATTGCTTGCTACTTATCAAAATAATAGCTGCGAAAATTCCTGAGCTTGACATCATCATTTATATAGTAGTCTGGTCCATAATGACTCATTTCACAAACGAAGAAAAATCAAACTAGAAGGACAGTTAACAAATAAGATGAAAAGGTCTTCCAAATTAACCATTTTCTGACATAATACAAAGTAACAAGGGCAAGCCAACAGCAAAATAAGTAACAAGGATCAGAACAGAGCTTGGAGAAGCAGATACCATAGTATTGTATCAACAAACAGTCTGGTCCACTAACATAGAGAACATAGATAGCTGCGATAATGCTTTTAGACAAACGTAGATTCTGTGGTACTGTCCGTTGGAGACGCGCCTTCACAGCTTGTCTGAGAACTCCTGTTACTTGCCGAGGAGTGTCTTGGAGATGATCGTCGAGTTGCCGATCTCGTTGCTCTGCTTGCAGTGTCTTCCCCTGCGGATGTGTGTGACGCTGTGGAGCTTCTGTGCGAGCTACACCGACTGGACCGCTGAGATGACGCGGTGTCATGATGGCTGGCAGCAGCGGCGGATCTTCGCAAATCCCGCTCCTGCTGTCGGACAAGCTGCTGTGTCTCGCTGTCCGCCTGTGGGCTGCTGTCGCTCTGCGGGCTCTGGATTTCCCCCAGTGGGTTATCTGGCGTGTTCCTCGGTGGTGGCCCTGCGCACGCCGCCGAGTCGAACATGATCGCCATGTCGTACGGGGTGGGGGCTTGTCTCCCGGTGATACGGGTTGGACAGGCTTGATGGCGCTGTAAGGTGGAGGTGGATCATCGTAGGGAGGCAGGGCGACGTGCAGGTCACCGGACGGGGAGAGAGGCGGAGGACGGAAGAGGTGGGCGGGGAGGATGTTGGTTCTCGTTCTGCGCGCTCCGTGGCGAGACGCTCTGTTCCGTCGATTGTCTGAAAATGACAAAGGAAAAATGTCAAATTGTTGTAACAAAACAACTGATGCTCTATCTTAATTAATGTTATCTTCAAATCCTATTTCCTAATTCTGGCACAAATTTGTGGGGTCATGTGGCATAACAGCAGAACATTGGACTCAGAACCAAAAGGTCCCTGGTTTGAATCCTGACATGTCAAGAGGGCAAATTTTATTAGTAAACTAAGTTTTCCATATCTCTACATGCCATTCTTTTCTGTCTTAGATGATGGGAAAAAGCAGCAAAATTCTGTCTGATGATGGAACACAACGGTGCTGTGGTAGCTAAAACACTTACAGTGGTTTCCCCCGTACATGGCCTCTAGTCTGCGCTGGCGGAGTCGGTACACCAGGAACAGCAGCAGGGACAGGATCAGGAAGGACGAGAGACAGCTGACCACCAGCCGCATCCCGTGGGTCATGCTCAGCTCTGAACCATTGTCTGAAAACATCAAAGTATCATCTCAGGACATGCATCACAACATTGTGGAGATGTGTGGTATAATGGCAGAGGCTTTTGACTCAGAACCAAGAGGTCCTGGGTTTGAATCCTACCATGCACTTTACAAGACTCACTTTACACTCAGTTGAAAATGAGTACCTAGCTTCATTTAGGGATGCCCCTCAGATAAGACGTTAAATGGAGAGCTTTACTTTTTGAAAAAGAGTAGGTCCAAATACTACTGACAAGAAGTCGGTGGTTCACTCCTAATCACCCAGATAGAGGCCTGGCGAACCCCCGTCTTGTATAAGACACACAGTGATTTAAATTTGAATATTTTTTTCGAAAGATGCGGTGGGTTTTTTAATGTATTGGAACTGTTATTCTTGAACATTATGAAGTTCTTACAGTTATTGCTGTTGTTGTTCTCGCTGGGGTCCATACAGGTGAACTCGCAGCACTTGTCTGGAGACATCTGGTAGCTGGTGCACTTCTGTGGCCGGTCGCACTGCGCGGTGATACACATCTGTGCCTCTCCCATGTGACAGGTACAGGTCATGCAGGCGTCGTGACCCTGGGGCGTGAACACCTGTCCCTCCGCTACCTTCTCTCCCTTGCTGTTAATGCACTTCATCTTGGCAAGATCTGGAAGATCAAGATATAACAATATAAGCATGCTTTATTCGTCCTAGTTATCTCTTTATTGGTCGTGTGCTGCCAGACTTTTTCTTTGGCCCTGGGGCGTGAACACCTGTCTCTCTGCTACCTTCTCTCCCTTGCTGTTAATGCACTTCATCTTGGCAAGATCAGGAAGATTTTAGGTTGTAATAAAAACATCCTGTAAGTACACTGTATTCATACTAGTTGTAGAGTTTCTTCTGTCACAAGGAAGAAACTCACCATAAATTTGGAAGATCAGGTCATAACAAAAACCTCAAATGAGCATGCTGTATTCTTTCTACTGTTATGAAATTTCATCTGCGTTGGTAGTTTGAATTGAAAACTTTTGATCCAACACAAGAGGCTGTTTTCACCTAGAGCTTTAGACCAGTCACTCTAGTCTTGTTCAATAGACTGACAAAGTGAGACTTGCCACGTAGCTTCTCTGAAGTGTGACGTCAACACTGTAATGTCACTAAACTGTGACAGAGACTAGACCGACACCATTTACCAGATACCTTTGACCCAGCGTTGACGTTAAATTTCAGAGAAGCCATGTGACAAGTCTTACTGGGTCAGTCTATTGAAGAAGACCACAGTGTCAGGTCAAAAGCTCTAGTTGAGAACAATTTCTTGTGTTGGATACACAATGTATACAGATAAACCGGTAAATCAGAATGTTATAGACCATTGACCAACAATAGGCAATACTACAATATCTATGAGCAATACACACCTTTTTTACACAGAAACGCTGACAGACTTTCACAGTTGATGGCGTACCAGCTCCAGAGGTAGAGGCCCCCGAACAGCTCGTTTCTAAGATACTGCAGCTGTCCACACAGCATGTCACCATGTTGGGTCGACATCAGGACAGGGTTGAAGCTCTGGATAAAGTTGAAGTCACTGTTGGCCTCTGAGAAATGGGAAGAAACGGGATGATGCTGATTAAACAAATGAAGCCTTTCTTCTGACGATTCATGTCATGTACACTTAACACACCGGGGCTTGAAATCCTTTTTTTGTGCACTGGTGCAAACTACATTGAAAATTACCTGTACCACTCAGAATCTAGAAGTACAGATCATACTAAAAACTTCTAAACAAATAAAAATCCAGTTACACCTGCCATGTATATATAAACCCAGTACATGGACTGGTGCAAGTAGACATCAAAAATACTTGCACAGCTCCTATTTTACCTGCACAATATTTTGAGCTCTGGTAACACCATAAATGACTGGCTGAAAGCCCAACAGTGCCTTAACTACTGACCTGCTTGTGTGTTGGTGACCCTCCAGAAGGACACATTGTTCTGTGTGACGTAGTGATACCCCATCCAGAACCTCTGATAGATCCCATCCAGAATCAGCGACTGGGCCAGCAGGTCCTCCCACTTGTGCTCGATGATGAACCCCAGCTCGTTGTCGCTGGAGATTGTTGCTAGGTAACTGCCCTGGCGCTGGCAGGTCTCCTGCGCCTGGCTGTAGTTCATCTTGGTCTGGAAGGCCTTGTAACAGCTGCCCACGCGAGCGTGGAAGTACCAGCCTTCTGGACAGGTATCTGGAAAAACAAGATGGAGTATGTATAAATTATGTAATATCAAAGAAACAGACAATAATGCTGTAGTTCATCTTGGTCTGGAAGGCCTTGTAGCAGCTTCCAACCTGAGCGTGGAAGTACCAGCCGTCCGGGCAGGTGTCTTTGGAGACAGAATGGAGTACACATGAATTATGTCATATCGATGCTTTGGTCAAAATTAAAGAAAAGTCAACACAATAGTGTAAATTTCCATTGCTCAATTCTGTGTAGAATTTCCTCTACTTAGTAGTAAGTTTTCTATCAAATTACTGACAGGAACGTTCCTAAAGCATTACAGGACTTGTAACTTTTAATTACTTTAATTTCTGATTTTGTCACAGTACTTTCGTCACAGTTTTCACAGCCACTTTAGTACCTTGAATTTGTCATTACCATTAACAAATCAATCGCCACTGTCAAATATGTGAAATTTTGCTACCCTGCACATAAAGCATTCAACTCAAGAACTTCTTTCAGTTGGTGACCTTTCTCTCTGTTTGGTCAAAAGCTAAGTAACAAGACAGACCTTGTAGTTCTGTATACTTACTGGGAGTATCTCCATGTAAAAAACTGGCAGTCGCTTCCTCCTGGCCGAACCCTTCCTGTCCAACACCGAGGTCTAAAGGAGACTTCACCTGTCCCTTTTCCCATGACATGACATGGTGACTGCTGGTGTCAGCCAGGTTTACAGTGTCAGGATGGGCTGGAGAGGCAGCCTGGTAGGCTCGGTTTGTCTCACTTCCATCTGAAATACAGGAATCATGAACATGAATCAGGGCTAAAAAAAAAGGCATGTTGTTCAGTTCAGTGCAAGTGCATGTTGGTGCACACAAAACCCAATTTTTTTTCTGTGGGTGCACCAAAGTCTTTTCGGAGGTTTACATATGTAAAGATTAAATGTGTATGTTTAATCTTTGTATTGTTTGGCACCCGAAATCAGCTATGCTGCCTGGGTGGCCAGTGTATTGTCTTGTTACAATTGAATTAAAATAAAAATAAAATAAATGTACATCATAAAAATGTATGGTTGTCATGCCCAATGTTTCAAAAGTTCAAGGTGATGAATTATTTCTACAAGAGAATGAAAATACAGAAACTTTGCAATGGTCCCTCATGCAACAGGATATACTTTCGTATCCTGTTCTGCTAGTGAAACGGCACCAAGAGCTGAACAACAAGCCAGGGAAACCCAAACCACCTGAAACACATGTCAAGTGGTCTCTTCAGGCCAAAACTTCACTTCTAATCTGAAGTGCAGGTACCTGAATCATTGTGCTCAATTTTCTGCTCAGTCATCGGCCAGTAGTGCTGACACAGATGCATGTGCTTGCCTCAAACATCTTTAAAAATATACTTTTTAACTTGCGTTTAACATTAAGCTTTGTTGATGTTTAGAAATAGCAGTAAAAATGGGAAAATACACTCAAACCACTAATGTTTTCTAGACAGTATTACATAATACCAACAATGTTTAGTGACTGTTTTGAAAATACTGGTTACAAATAGTTTTGTCATTCCTAAGCCTTCAACTCTCAAGGTTCAAACCACATTGCTACATTTTTTTCAGGGTAGAAAAATTGGGTTAAGTCCTTGTGCATAACAGAACAGCGTTTGTTATAGCCTGATTTTGAACTGTAGGTGTGAAAAACACATCTGTGATACTGATCCTTTGTACTTGGTAAATGACCTACAACACTTGGGTACCCAAAAATCTGAATAGAGGCCTTTGTCTTTGGAACCCTGCCTCAATTTTCTGAACAGTTTCTTAGTCCTGTGTGGCTGATTACCAGACCAAACACGGCTCCCAGTCTTTGCTTTACCATGACCTTCCCTGCCCTGCAAAGGTAACATGATATGGTGTTACCCACCACTAGATAAACTCTACATACAAGCGCAACCCAAGGGGCTCAACAGGGATAACACGTACGCCAAGCCTGGGCTGCCGTTAACACAATTTCAGACTTTGAACAAATGTTAGAGTGAAAACTGTGGGGGAAGTATGCTGAAACTGACTACCAAAACAAATTCTCCATACATTTTCATCTCTGTACCTTTGTCAAGAAGCATAGAATGTTATATCTACCTCCATACCCATGTTTTCCAGATAGAAGACCCATCATGAAAGATAGAAAACAACAGCCTCTGAATGTCTTTATTCAGAGTTAGTCAAGGAATTTTCACCTGGTTTACCACAATGGGTCCTTAGGTAAGAAGAACGCTGTTTCAACCCTGGTTAAGATTTGGGTAAACACCCCCCTGAATAAAGTGCTCAGTCATGCTGTTTCAGGTTTCAAGCATAAATAAGTGAATAGGATCGGTGAGGGTTTTCACAACACAGTGGACGCACTTTCTGATTGGCCAAGGCGCCGCTCCGGCTTTACGTGCTTAGTACGCGCACGGTGCGTTCTGGGGGGGCTGTGACAAAATCTTTTGTCTGCCTCCCTTACAAACATCTAGTCTGGCGGTGGGATAGACATCTAGGGTAAACAGCTCAAAGCCAGTTGTTTTCACAAACTGTTTGTTTATTCCTAAGTAGGAAGGAACCTCGCAAAGACATTAATGGATCCAATTTTGCTGGGGTGAAACTAGATGAAACACTGTGATAGATAGTTTAATCCCCCAGACGCTGTTTTCTTCTGGGTTTAGATAAGCTTGTTAGCGTTCTACAGCATGTTTCTGCCAGTAATTTACATCAAAAACATTGAGAGACCCCTGTGCAACCACACATAAGCTATGTTTTTTTATGGAAATACATCCAAAAGAGGAATTAACCGTGCCAACGGTCCTTTCAAAACTACCAACACTTGTGTCACAATTTACTACTGATAGTCCGCAAGCACCAAAAGCTTTCCTGCATGTGTGTGTGTACCTTTGGCTGTTAACACTGAAATAAGAAAGAGATATCATGCTGGTCTCACCTGTTTCTTGTGGGGCTGCCAATGTAATTGCAACACCTGGAAAATATGATTGAAACAGAAATTTCCATAAATCATGGAAGTATAACAAGAGCCACACATTGCAAGTAAAAGTGTATCATTCTCTTTTGTTTCACACAAATTTTAACTGACAGATATTATTGAGAGCCAACACCCCATTTACAAAGCTGAAAAACATTACATTTATCAGTTAACATCAGAAGTATGTATGTCTTTACATTAAGCAAACATACAACTTGTTTGCATTGGGAGTCGTTCAGCAAACAAAACCTAATATACATGGTCACGACTATACAACAGGGAGCTTCTGTAGTTTGCAACAATGGGCACTAAATACTCGTACATGTACATTGTACCAAAATGTGTGTGAACAAATTTTTTGTCCATCTTCTTTCATCCAAATCTTTAAAACTGAATGTAGCAAACAGCATAGATTCTGATCAAGAAAGATAGGCAAATAGTAGAAATATGACCATGGTTGAAAAAACTGGTGCTACATATAGGGTTTTTTACTTTACTTAAAAAAAATTTCACTACATCCTATTATTCTTGTCCTCTGTTGAAAATACAACAGAGACAAATCAGGGTTTGATTCCATCTCTCTCACAGATGTGCCAGTAGCACCACAGCTATTGTTTCTCCAATGTTGATCACACCTATTGTGGAAAATGTGCCAAACTATTAAAGGGACAAGATTTGGTGATAATTACCCCTGTCCTTTTACTAAGCTGTTAAAAGGCATGCATAATGCATTTAATTGTTTACAGATATATTTCTTATGCTCTGCAAGCTTTGAGTTTCTTTGTGTTGTCCTACATAGAGATTCTACAAAAAAATTGTGACCAAAAATGTAAAAATCATAAAGAACTGTGTTACCCTACTGACATATCATACCTTATTATACCATACTATACCTTGGTATAGTATAATCAAATTTTTATACAGCTACTGTTACAACAACAACATAGCAGAATCGGGGTAAATTCTAACACATCTACATGTACTTCTATCACACGCCCATTTTTTTCCAACATATTGAATACATATGTGTTACGTGTTACAACTTCTACTGGCATAGTCTTTTTCCTTTGCTAATTCTTCCCAAAACTAAGGTTTTAACTCGAGTTATTCAGTGAAATACTCTACTTGTTTGCTTCACCACATGTGGTGCCAGGACAAAGCATGGGATCTGTTGACTAGCAAGCAAACGATCTGACCTAATTTTTCAAACGAACGGTGTGTTTGTGATCAAGGTTTGCAAACGAACAAAGACAGTGTACCAAAAACTAGCATCATCTAGTGCTTCAAAAACTGCTAGAATTCATATAAATTCTTCACGAAGTCTAGATTCTGGCAGGAGAAACGCCCAGTGAAGGAACTGAGCAAACACATGCATGGCAAATACCCCGCTTGCTAGCCAGGGATAGGTTCCTCCCCCCAAGCTCCTGGCTGTAAAAGGCAGCACGTTCCGAGTACTCACCGTGAAAAAGGACAACCAAAATATCCCAAATTCCTCGGCGCCGACAACATTTTTGGTCGAGGAAAATCTTCCCGACGTAGTAGAAGAGATTCCGGCGGTTTTTGTGTGGACAGAACGGGG